TTTTTTTTTTTTTATAACAAAGTCATGGATATTCCTCAGTTTCTACATATAAAATTTTCCGGATTTTAAAAATTTATGAAACGCGCAATTTAAAAAATTTTTCTCTCGGTTTCGTTTAAATCGGTTATACGTGAAATTGCTAGTATATTTAAACGCACCAAGTGTGTATTTTGCAACTGTATTATTCAACAAACAGCCGGGTACTTTTATGAAATACCGAGCTGCGTCTCGGTTTTACCCAGTTTTCCTTCTCGTAATTCACTTTCATGCGACTTTCCGTGAAATGTTTGCTTTCACTCGTCCCGTACAAGCACGTGCGCACGTGGTTCCATGAAAATTTACGTAAATAAACCATGGAATATAATATGCTGAATACGTTTTTTGCCAATATTTTTTAAAACAACATAGAGGGATAAACTTTTTGAGGATAACCTAAAGAAAATACACATAGGTAAAGTTTTATCCGATAGACTTGAAAAAATTTCTTGTGAAAATTCGCGTTAAAAAATTATATTTTTCACATTTTTTTTTGCATTTTATGCCAAAATGCATATTCCATTCAAGAATTTCGATCATTCGTTTCATCGTACCCATCCAATCGGATAAAGTTGTCTATGCGAAAATATACCGACGATCTTTCGTCTCTTTTCCGCGAAAATCCTATCAATTCGTCTTCGTTTATTGGCGCGCGCGCGCACATTTCGTTCACTCCAGAATTTTCCCGAAAAGATTCAGGCATGTGGCCAAAAGCACGGACGTTGTCGTTATCATCGTCATTGGAGCATATGCCGAGCGAAGAAGTCGCGCAACCGGAATACCGCTCTACCAAGCATCTTTTATTCTGGGTAAGCAATATATTTGCTGTACCATATTTTCTATCAATCTGTTAAATGTACCAAAAAAGGACCGAGCATTCATTTTCGTTTATTCATCACAAATTGATTCATCGATTTTATACGATATTTATATTAACATCGTGAAAACTTTTATATTTGTCGTGGACTTTAAATATTCGGCATATACCCAATATTACTAAGATATTGGAAAAGAATGGAATATTTCCGGAATAGAGAAAGAGAAGGTACGTATTTTCAATGTACGTGAAAGACTGGATGAACGTTTGCAACGTGTATCGAACTCAAAGTTTCAAGATGAGAACGCATAACGAAGTTACAAAAGAGGCAAGGATAAAACTTGATTATTGAACTTGTTATTGGTTTCATCTGTTCGGAACACCTTCGCTGTTTTGCCAGTTCTTTTCCTCCTACTTTCTTTATTTCTTTTTTTTTCTTTCTAATTTTTTTTTTTTTCTATTTTTAGTACGAGCAAAACGAGAAGTTCACGACCCTGTAGCCTATATTACATCGATTCGACGAGAGACCATCGAACTTACTTTGAAACTTGAAATTGCATATTATTGGATTCTATGGACGTCCACGATATTTCACCAGAAATACAATGACCGCGACCAAATTTCACCTTATGCAGCGTATAATTGCCATTAAGATTTTATTATCATTCATTTAATACACATGTATTTCATTCATGTACATTTTATAAATAAAATATATATTTATAGATATTTTGTATATCTTTATTTTTATTTATATAAACCTATCGTATCCTATGTATCTATCCTACTCTATCCATCCAACTTTACCTATCTATCTATCCTACTTTATTCTTCCTAATTCACCTATCCTATGTATCCCATTAAATCTTCCTAACTCCATACCATATTCTCTATCTGTCCTTTAGAAATAAGTAAAATGTTTTAAAAAATGTATAAAACGTAACATTTTGGCAAGGTAAGTATTCAGAAGATAAGTAAAAAAGAGGTAAGTAAAAAAAGGTAAGTATGAAAGAGGTAAGTAAAAGAAATTTCGCATATTACTTCAATGGCTGTCAAAATTTCGGTTTGTTTACAAACATTGGTCTGTTTATTTACATTTTCAATGTTTATTTACATTCTCGGTTTGTTTATTTACATTCTGCAATGTTTATTTACAAAAATTTTCGAAATTTTAATGAATTTTGGGCCTGGGAATTGAATTTTTGATTTGTTTACAAACTTTGGAATGTTTATTTACATTTTCAATGTTTATTTACATTCTCGGTTTGTTTATTTACATTCTGCAATGTTTATTTACAAAAATTTTCGAAATTTTAATGAATTTTGGGCCTGGGAATTGAATTTTTGATTTGTTTACAAACTTTGGAATGTTTATTTACATTTTCAATGTTTATTTACATTCGCGGTTTGTTTATTTACATTTTTCAATGTTTATTTACTTTATCGGTTTGTTTATTTACATTTT